TTAAAAAAAATATTTTCAACTAATTTTATGGGAAAATGTATAGAGATCAATCTGGAGAATTTGTGTGTGGATATTGGGATAACAGGGTTAATTAGCACAGAAACCTTGTGAGTTAATTAATTTTCAGCAAAGTGGTTTAGCTGTACCTGGACTTCATTTGTGCGTGTTTTGTAGGTTATCTTGGGAAGAAGAATCCAATGTATCAACAGGAGACGACAATTCGCCAGCGGGTAAATGTGAGTTTTTTTAACATACAAAATCACTGGGAGTTTTAATGTTTCTAATTTGACTAGTTTTTATTTTCTTGCTAGCGTTTGGAAGTTTGGCTCTCATAAAACAAAAGAGAAAGAAGAAGACAAAACACAAAAGACGACCAAGATGAGAAGGGGCACTATTGAAGGAAGTCTGAGGCGAAAGAAAAGTACGGTGAAATTCGTCTGATACGTGTACAGACTGTCGTTTTCTGTTTAAGAACGTCGAATATACACCTGGATGCTTATTCTCGTGTCTGAGGAAGGAAAGACGCTTGTGTCATAGAAGTGGAGGCTTTGACGAATAACTTTCATTGGATACGCGGCGGTTTCAACTGCTAAAACCACGTTGGCACGATAAACAGTTACGTCTTGTATCGCTATATTTCCTTTCTATTATTTCGTTCCTCTTCAAGTTTAATTTGGAAAATATTTAATCTGTCACTGTAGGGAAGTCTGCGGTAGGTTTCACCTTGTGCCGACCTTGACAATGGTTCAGTCTAGTTACCTGGGTCTAGTTATTCTCTTTGTTCTGTGCCGTTGACTAATCGTCAATTACCTGTGGTATTGAGACGTTTTCGCCCACCTAAAAGGATCATAAAGGTGATAAAGACTGTTAATTTTACATTCAATGGTATAAGCAGAATAAACTGCATTACTTTTAAGCTATGGGCATGATATTTCTTGAGATGGCTAACTCGATGGATTGTTAGACAAGAACACACAATATGCAAATGAACTAGTAAACGTGATCAAACTTTGACGCATGGCACTGTTTTCGTTAATGTAATAGAACCCAGCGATGTTGGGTGCGCAATGTACGTCTCATAGACGCCATAACCGTTCACAAATGAAGAATAAAATATATCATTTTGGTAGTTTTCCTCGCAATTTTTATCTTTCAGTGGTAAAGGTGAAGGTTCCGCACCCGGGAATCAAACTCCAAATCCCCTGCACATATGGTCGCGTATTCAAATGACTGTGCTGTTCTTTTTCCTTAATGACAATGGGTAAAATGTTAATGGAATTATTCTTGATTCTCCTGTCCTGCTTGAGAGAAAAAATCGGTTGGGAACCCCGACGCCCGCCTTCTCGGTACATTTGAAATAAATTACAAAATGGCTGCCAGTGACGGTGAGTGCTCGATCTTGACGATCTTAAGGGAAAATAGGGCACTGTGAACAGTCTATCAGTGTTATAATTAATTGCCCCGCAGGGATTTCGCCCAGAGGCGAAATCCCGAGGAGGCACCCTAGTAACTCGCGCGTATATAGGACAGTACTTACAGTTCAAATATACAGTCGGTATACTGTACTAGAAAAAATCTCGATTTGCTCGAACAGGGGCCGCGAGGAATCGGTAGGTAATGATGACGTTTCTATTGTTTGCGCCCACAAGTACGAAATGGTTAGGATGACGTAAAGACAGAACATCCCCAAGGGACCGCTTAGGTAGATTTTGTGACATTTATTGTGCAGTCATACTTTAGCCTGCGTAGCTGGCGGTATTGTGTGGGTGCGAGATTACAGTTTTGGCGGCGGAGCCGTGTTCCAAAAAAAGGGAGTAGGGACGAGGCGGTTGAAATACCGCCTGCCAGAAAACCCCGGTATTTTGAATAGTCCGCACACCAGTGTGCGGGGAAACGGATTGGTCGAGGGCCATACATATGTCAATCATGTTAGATGAGCCTTCGCATATATTTCCCAATT